AATAAATAAATAAATAAATAAATTGGAAGATGAGCTGTGGAAGATTTGACCCACTGTATTCTCCACTGTAAGTTACATAGTGACATCTGAGAATGTTGTTAAGTTACTTTGTTAAAGAGACTGAAACATTGTGGAACAAAAGCAAATTTGATCTTTCCATTTCAAGAGGCAAACTATTATGTAACAAAGACTGTTACAGTAAAACTGCCTAATGCAGGGAGAAATGTGTGGTTTCTATAGCTGCAAATCATCGGGGAGACTCTAAACCAGTGGTGTCCAACCTTGGCCCTCCAGATGTTCTTGGACTTCAACTCCCAGAAATCCTGGCCAGCAGAGGTGGAGGTGAAGGCTTCTGGGAGCTGTAGTCTAAGAACATCTGGAGGGCCAAGGTTGGACAAGCCTGCTCTAAACCATGAGTATGACTATAGCTTGATAAAACCCATTAATACCACCTGCTACTAGTTTATTTTACCTGCATTTTAGCAATATTAATTTGTTCTACAAAGTCTTATTTTTCTTATAGGTACACACATATAACATGTATGCATATATAACATGTATTAATTTTTATGTATCAGTTTTAACTTTTAATTTTCCAATTTTTATGTTAGTTTGATTGACTATATGTGCTTTATTTTGCTTTGGTCCATGAATTAGTTAAATAAATACCTGTCTGTCTAGTTACCTACTTTCTTTGGAGATGAGACTTTTCTTTTGCACCACTAAATCTCACTCCACTGGATCCTCATGGCCCTGAGCATTATTTAGAAAAAAATATTTAGGAAACAGTAGATCAGATCACAAGAACATTCAAAATAGCTAACAATAATAGGGCAGATTTAAAAACATACATAAAACTTAGGAAAAAAGAATACTGTACTTTCATTATACCTGTTTCACATTATCATTCTAGTATGATTTGAAAGAGAAAAGAAACTTATTTGGGCAGAAGAAGGATTACTGGGACTTTCTGAGCCGCATCCTGACAAAGCTGCATGGCGGGACACACGCAGGGGTGCAACATGTCACTTTCCAGGACAAAGTAAGACTGGGACAGAAGATGGGGTTCCCTGGCCAGCTGAGGGAAAGGGAAGAAGAGATGTTGTACAATAGAGATCTTTTACTGGAGACCGTCTCCATATCACCAGGAACAACCAGCCATTAAGGGTTCTTTAAGAGTGTAGGGCTTACTTTTGAACTGTTTACATGTTTTATGCATTAGAGTAGGTGCACTGTTTTCTTTCAGTAAAGATGTGTCCACTAACAGTGGGCCTTTCATGTTTTCCTTAAAATGCCAATACATAGGCATCCTTCAGTCTCGAGAGACTATGGTAACATGCTCTGAATCGAGGAGTGTCCTCTCCAGAGCATGAAGCCTGGGTAAGGTAATATGGAGGATAAGCTGTTACCCAAGCAGCAAATCCCCCCTCTCCACGTTGCTGAAATGGTCCAATGGAAAGGCAAGAGCCAATACGACTGGTTCCAGCAACGTCGCAGGAGTTGGCAGAACGACACGAGCTGCCTTCGGGACTCCAGCTCCGGATTTTGCCTCGAGGTTAACTCCTGAAGCCTTTTCCATGAGTGGATATAGCCACAAGGCAGTGGAGGTTTGATATCGGAGTTTTCCTTCTCCGGAAATGCCAATGGCCCATTGCTAATAGATCTTTCACAAGCAGCTTTCAGCAGTGGAAGGCCACACAGCAAACTCTTGATCCCTTCAAATCATGCTTGCTCTCTTTCAGTTTCACCTTGCAAAACAGTTGTTCCTCCTTCATTTGTATGAATTCTGCACTTCACAGATATGATGAAATAGGCATCCTAGTGCACCCTAAGACCAGTGCACTCGGCTCAGAGCTTGGTAACATTGCTTTTTTGACTACAACTCTGAGGTTCCCTAGCCTCAGGGAATTCTGGGAATTCTAGTCCAAAAAAGTAAGATTTCCAAGCTCTGATGAGCCTTCAGTGTGTTAGGGTATGACCAGAACTTGGAGACATTATGTTTTTTTGGATTACAGAGTTGTGCTGGTTTGGGAAATCTAGTTGCTGTAGTCCAAATAAACATATTTTTCCCTATGCTCTGGCTCCACCCTTAAACATAACCAAGGAGCCAGTCCTACTGGATGCATGGGGTTGCTCTGTTACGTTTTTTTTAAGCATGGCTGAATACTTCCTTATTAAATTTAGGTTTCACTTCTGCAGTGAATGTACCTTAAATTAGTATACAAGAGAAGCTCTGTGCACTTCTGCAGTGAATGTACCTTAAATTAGTACTGTATACAAGAGAAGCTCTGTGCGTGCAGCTTTTTCTGCTGGCTAAAGTTAGTAGAGACGGCAGTCCAGCAATGTCTGGAACCACATGTTTCCCACTCTTGTTGTAGAGTTAAATAAAAGCCAAACATCCTGGCTCCAGGAATGACGGGAAGTTTTAAAAATATTTTTAAGTAATAGGTGCATAATACATAACCATGCCTGCATGAGAAGGTAGAAGTATGGGCAAATAAAGACACTGGCATGGTGTCATTTCTAATTGGCATGAAACAGAGAGGTGGATTGTTTTAAACAAAAGGTAGGGTAATACTGATGAAGGTTCCCTGCACTGGCATCAAGCAAGTGAAGCTTCTAAGAGGACACATGTTAGCCCAGGTTGGGGAGAGAAGGAGTGAATGAAAAATACTGTAGCAGACTGACATCTTAGAGAGCTTTCTCCTTTTGAATGTGCATCCAAGCCCCAATCTGTTTGTCCTGGCAGCTGAAAACACCCGTGGGAAGGGGCCGTGCTTTCATCCGCTATTGCCTGGTCCATCAACAACTGGCCGAGACCTTGCAGCTTTGCTTTATGGAGCCACAGGTGACCAGGTAAGGTGAGCCAAAGGTGGGGGAAGTGTAAAGCTTTCAACTTTATTGAATGTTGAGAAGAGATGAAACTTGAGATTCAGGAGAAGGTTGTGAACTTGGCAGTGTGATCCAAAAACAAGGAGCCAGACGATGGAGAAGTTGGGATAAAGAGTAAGGAACAGGGAGGGCTCTTCTCCTGAGGAGATAGTAGGGTTGGGCCACAAGGAGAAAGGCAGTAGTTGAGGGCCCATGGCATTATTGCTTTATGTTGGAGTCAGAAGGTAGAGCCATATGTATTAGGGCTAGCTCAAATCAGGAATCAGAAGTAATATGAGTAATTACCAGTATTGGATGTCCTTTCCCCAGGAATTTTCGCAGACTGTTTTTTTTTCCTTTCCCCTGAAGGAGGCCTCAGAATAGCAAGAGGCCAAAATATTTTGTGTGTTTTAACAAGAAACATAGCCTTCTGAGATGTCTTTCTTCTGTGCCTGTGTTCTGTTTGGAAGCTCTCTTCTTTTTGCATTTTCTTTTTCTGAAAGAAAACTGCTAGAGAGGTACTTGAGGCAGGGTGTGTATCTCTAATGTTGAATTCTCAAGTTGTTAGATGACTAGAACGGTTGTCCCCTGCTTCAAAGCCATTTATGTTTCCTTTGATCTCACTGACATTGGGAAAGGTGGCAAGAGGTTAAACTACAGATTTTAGGATCTGCTAATGCTTTGCTCCTTCCAGTGAATGGTACTATGCACGCAGCCCTTTCCTTGACCAAAAGCTGTGGTTGGACATATTGAGATCCCTCTATGAATTGGATGGTGTTGCCTTCCACCTGGCATTGTGCCGAGCAGATCTGGATGTTGCCTGGCCAATGGGCTCTGAGTAAGTAACAAGACGCACAGGTTTGGCCAAAATTAAGAAGACTGTGAATACAGATGCAAATGCCTTATGCTGAAATTTCTGAGCATAGTACTTTGGGGTTACTTTGATGGAAGGATTTTTTTTTCTTCTGTCACATATTCACTGTGAATGTTATATTCCTCACTGTCAGAGAACTGGCTAGACTATCACCAGAGAAGAAAACAACACTTAGGTCTGCTAAAAACCTCCTATCAGGATGAGCTTTAGTTATTTTTCTGTCTCAGAGGTGAAAAGTATATGACCCTCCAGGGGCTCTTGGACTGCAATTTCCATTAGCCCTAACCAGTGTAGACCATGATACAAGATGACAGCAATTGTAGTTCAACACCATCTGGTGAAATATACATTGCCCACTTAATGTTACCTTGCAATAAAATAGGTTTCTTTATTGGCGAACAACACATACACTATGTCTCACCACTTCTCCTGTTCCATCTTCATCACTACTCTCCCCACCTCTCTATTGATACCTTCCCTGAGTCAGCATATTTATTCTGCTGGTTTTCCTTTATTCTCTCTCTAGCTCACACCAACTCCTACATGTCCCTGAGGATTGTTTGCTATTCAGCATCGTATTATCTCGTCCTCATGACCTTCTCTCTCTCTCTCTGTATGCCTTTTCCCCATGGTTCACAAGCCCACTGGATCTCCTCCTTCCTCCTCTTTCTAAGTAACATTCCGAGTGAAGATGCAGGTTCAGTCCATTAGCCTGAGACGTGGGTGAGTAGCTGAGATCCTCCTCATCTGGTTGGTCTGCATCTCCCATGATCCTTCAATTCCAACAACTTGTAGAACATTATGGAGGCCCCGGCTCTTAGCCTAAGATGTAGATTGTCTGGAAAGCCAGTCCTTCCTCCCAAGAAGTACATCAAACGGCTCTGAGGTGGGGAAATGAAATACAGGTGTTTTCCAGCATCCGTGCAGATACCTTGCTTTTGTTTCTTGCAGGGCTTTGCCGCGATGTACTGTTCCATCTACTAGCCTCACCCAGGTGGAGAAACCAACCTCTGAGGTATATAGTTCCACTTCCTTGCCTGTCCCATTGAACAGCAAACTACTCCCTGTCAGAAGAAATACACTCCTATCTTGAGCAATGGCTTTGAGGCACTGGTGTACCCTGAAGCTTCCATTCACATTCCTTGAAATGGTCCAAGGTTCTGTGTCCTCCCTGCACACACACCCATCACAGGAGGGCTGTGATTCAGTAACCTTGACCTCCAGGGATAAATAGGATAAGCTGCCCTTGGATTCTTCCTACTCTCAACTGCTATTCCAAAGGTAGAGACCCTTTGGCCCTCCCCATGTTTTGTTCTTCCACTTCCATAACCTCTTACCGTTGGCCCCGTTGGGTGGGGCCAACTGCAATTATAGACCAAAGTATTAAAAGAGCAAACAATTCCCTTCTCAGAGCTATTCAGTTCTTACAAAAAAAAACCCTATTATTTAGATTCCATCACAAAATGTTTCTGAAACAGCCTCTTAATCCTAAATTATAACTAAGTGACTCCCTCAAAATCCTGTAAAAGATAATTCTAGATCTAGGATGGGATGGAGTGGGGGACTGCAACTCCCATGATCCTTTACCATGGGCTGTGCTGGCTAGAGCTTCTGGGAGTTAAAAGTTCAGCAGCATCAGGAGGCTCATTGATTCCCCAACCCTGCCCTTGCAAGAGCTGCAGTTCTGAAGAACTGTCATGCTGATTCTTCACCCATAG